AAAAAGAGTTTCCGAACTACTTTCTCGGAAACCTAAAGAGATTTCGATAGCTCGGAAACCCTAAGTGGTACCCGAGAATACCCTTTCGGTTTCCGAATCACTTTCTCGGAAACCAAAAGCGTTTTCGAATGGCTTTCCCGGAAACCTAAATGGTTTCTGAAATTTCTGAAATTCGAAAAGGTATAGTGAAAAACAGAAATCAGCTTTCCAACTTCACTTAACTACTGCACACTTTCTAGGCTTGGAAACTTTCACAATGAGTTTCTAAAGCGTTTTAGAGCACAACAATTTTTCCAGTGGAGAAAGTTCGCGTTTCAAATTCATGTTTGGGTCATGATTCTGTTCTTCATTTCTGGAATTCTAAGAGAATCGAAAGCACTTAGGGCTTTCATGCAACACGTTTGATTATATATGTGCAGTTCATAGCTTTCAATAAATATAAACTTAAATCTAATTTTTTTCTTTATTTGGGTCTATATGAATTTCCATTACTAATTCTGGTAAGTCAACTGATTTACATAAACTTAAAACTAATTTCTTTTTGTTTATTTAGGTGTATATGAATATCCATTAAAATGTCGGGTAAGTCAATTGATTTATATAAACTTAAATCTAATTTATTTTTCTTTATTTAGGTCAGGGCTGCCAACCGTACCCATTTTGGGGTACAATATCCCATGTCGACATTTTGTACCCCAGAAAATTTCGTACCCCAGGGGTACATATTTTGTACCCCATTTCAATTTTTAAGTCTGGAATGTGATAAAACACCATATCAAGGTAAAGAAAGTGTGTTTTCCCACTAGTCTTTTCACTTCTATCTATCTACTTAGGGGTATCCAAAAGTAGTGGCAACGACATTTTATTACCATATTTTAGGGTTGATAAAAAATTCTTTCTACATAGGATAATAGAGTGGAAAATGCTCTTTCTTTCTATGCTATTTGATCCTACTTCACTTGACATTATAATAACAAAATTCTAATAAAATTAGTTTGCCTAACATGTATATCGGTTACAGAAGTTCACAGTGTCTCCAATATGCATTCTTTTCGTGATCTTTTCTTTGTTTTTCTTCTTTCCTTTATTCTTTTCTCTCGTCTCTTCTGAGACTTTATCGTTTATTATATAAATAAAGAGATGCATGCCTCTTTTTGTGCACGTGCCATGCACTATTCTATTCGATAGAAACTAAAAGAAGTAGAGCTAAATCGGCTCTTAACACTCTTCATTTTTGTTTTCAATGAACACAGAGAATTTTCGTTTCTACATTAAAGTGCGTACTGCACTAAATATTGAAGCAACAACTATTCACGACGAGCTGCATACAGTTTTTGGTGATGAAGCTCCTTCTTATCGAACAGTTGCTAGATGGGCTCAATGGGTTCGTGAAGGTCGAGAAGAAATTGAAGATGAAGAGCGATCTGGAAGACCTGTAACTGAGACTACTCTTGACAATATCGAAGAAATTCGTAGTATTGTTAACGATGATCCTCATGTTACAATAGCAGAATTACAGGAACATACTGGTCTAAGCTATGGCACCGTTCATCGAATATTATCGGATCATCTGGAACTTAGAAAAATTACTGCTCATTACATACCCAAACAGCTAAAGGATTATCAACGAGATGAAAGAGTTCGAATATGCAAAGAAAATCTATCAAGATTTACAGAAGGAGGATGGCGTTTGTCTGACGTGATAACAGGTGATGAATCGTGGTTTTTCCATCAGCAAAGTGGTCGAAAAGTTTCCAATGCTGCTTGGGTGGCAAAAGATGATCCTCCACCAACAATAATACGACGAAATAAGTTTGCTCCTAGGACTTTGTTTTGCATTTTCTTTAAATCGACTGGTCCTCTTCTAATCCATCGTGTCGAACGCGAACAGACTATCGATCGCCATTATTACATCGAAAATTGTTTGCAACATGTGATCAAAGAAATTAAGAAACAAAGACCTTCCTCAGGTACTCATGCTATCAAACTTTATCATGATAATGGACGAGCACATGTTCATCAAGATCTCCTCGATTATCTTCGTTCAGAGGGAATTGCTATAGTACAACATCCGCCAAATTCTCCAGATCTATCTCCCTGTGATTTTTGGTTATTCGACCTTATCAAACGAAATCTAGCTGATCAACCTAATTTCGAAAGGTTACATCGCGCCATAACCGAGTTGATGTATTCTTTGGATAAAGATGAGTATAGAAAAACGTTTGAGAAATGGATTCAAAGAATGCAGTTGTGTGTAGATAATCAAGGGGATTACTTTGAATATTTAATCAAATAAAACTTATTGAACTTGCTCATGTATTTTCTAGTATGCCGATATGAATAAACGATAAAGTCTCAGAAGAGACGAGAGAAAAGAATAAAGAAAAGATCACGAAAAGAATGCATATTGGAGACACTGTGAACTTCTGTAACCGATACACATGTTAGGCAAACTAGTTTTATTAGAATTTTGTTATTATAATGTCAAGTGAAGTAGGATCAAATAGCATAGAAAGAAAGAGCATTTTCCACTCTATTATCCTATGTAGAAAGAATTTTTTATCAACCCTAAAATATGGTAATAAAATATCGTTGCCACTACTTTTGGATACCCCTAAGTACATATTCTATTAGATATATCTCTAATTGCAGATTTTCTCTTTAATGAATTTGATGGGAATCTTCGTTGTCTATTTATTAGAGTTATTCGTGAAGGGTGTTCAGGTAAAAGTTGCATCATTTACAGTTGTCTATCGCCGATACAGTGCTGTCAAGTTCTTGGAAAGCCTACCTTCAGTAAACGTCAGAAGCAGAAAAGTTTTTGAAAAAATATTGTTGCCTGAATAAATCTTCTAAGTAAATTTAGCCAGCATATCAGTCGTAGAATAATCTATATGATTGATGGATCAGTGATAAAGTTATTCAAGTAGCAGATTAAAGAAAAATTTTATACAAAATTCATGCAAACAGGTCTCCTGATGAAATCTAGTCTTTAGCATGCAGTTCTCTCCTTTTTTACGAATCGAAAACGGAACTGAGTAAAAAGCATTTAGTCAAAATGAAATCTATTGGAACATATGCACTCTGTACGCATATCAAATTCTAAAGAGTATGAAATAGGGAAAATATAGATTGAACAATTTTATTTTTCATGACCCTCAAAAATCTACCCACTTTATCATATAGCTAGCTGCAAATGCTATTTAATCTAGAGCTTTTTGAAGCCTAAATTCTATTGAAACAAAAACAAGCGAAGCATGAAAGCGCCATGGAAATCGATGCAGAAAAATTGAAAAATTCACGATGATTCTTCGTATGTCCGCATTTCACTGATAGCCTCAGTCCGCTTTACGTCTTTTATAGATGGTTCCTAATGTTATTT